CAGACTTCCCTCTGGGGAGCGATTGCTGCAAAGCTGCAGTAATGGAAATCTGAGATGTAGCTACTGGCCAAAGGCCAGCAGAGACACTGGTCACTCGGATGTGTTTTGCCTTCCCAGCTTCAAAAGAGCTTCAGCAGGGGAAAAAGAAAATTAAATGTGCCATAATGATTGGAAAAAAATTAAAATGTTACCACATCACAGCAAGAGAAATAAGGCGTGGATGTGCTGCTGAAGAGCTACTGAGGATACAGCACTTCCACTCGCCTTGTTTCCCATCACTTACTGACACACAAGTCAGAAGGTGGCCCCTAATCCAGGCTGTTCCCATGGCTGGCACTTCACATTACTTAGCTCAGGAAGGAGCAGTAAGTATCCATAAGGAAAAACAAACAGGCATAAACCCTCCTCACCTACTCTTCACTGCAATTAACTATGATAGAAATACTTATTTTCTTTTACTAATTCATCAAGAAAAAACCCAGAATCTGAAAGTTATGAATGGATTTTAATGAAATTAAATTGCCTGACCATGGAATAATTGTCATGGTATAACTCTCTGTGCCATTTCTAAACGAAATCTTCCTATTAAAGCCAAGAAAGAAAGAAACAAAATCCTTGTAATCAATGTCTGCAGAAATGTTCGCTTGTCCCATGTGCCTAGCGATGTTTTGTTAAAAAATCATACGATCAGGAGCCTAGAAGATGTAGAAATATGCATTTTGAGCTTTTCCACAGTTTTCATGGTATATCCAACCATCTGTACATGTTATTAGCAGGTTTTTCCAGTGCATGCTATTAACCCAGTTGACTTCATTCTGGTATCTGTTATATAAATCTTCACTTAGCAATACAGCAGAATAATTTGCTGTGTGGTGCTCCTGTGATAAGGATAAGAGGATTTTTTTATCATCATTATGGATGGCGATAATTCCTTGAATGATAGAGATATTGATCCACTGATCTAAAAAAAAAGCATTTTACAAAGGTAGAGGAGCATTGCTATCCTTATTTTAAGGAATGGGATAACACAGAGATGATGAGAGACCAACTCACCTACGGTCAATACAGCACATCAATGGCACAGCTGCAAATCAAACCTGGGTATTTCTGGCTATTTTTGTGCACTCCAGCTATTATTGCATGGCTGTCTGTGTTGGCATCTGTGGTCATTGTAGACTCTACATAGTGCTAGGAGTCGGGAGGTCTGAAAGTTTCCTTAAGCCCTTCACAATGAGTGATTTAAAATCTTAATCATCTGAGGCAGTTCACTTCCGCTTTTTCATGATAATGAAGCTTAGCACATGATATCACAATCATGAATTTCTGTAAAGCATACTTAGCTCTTCAGAAAAAGTGCTGGATTAAACAACCCTGCAGGCTGTATCCTTCTCTTTGAATAATGAATATAGTACAGGCAGTGGCAAGCTTTTTCAGATAGTCCCATGAACCCTGCTAAAGCTAAGGCCAGCCTCCATGTCTGCTGAGTCCTTATTTTCTTTATCTCTACAGCCAACAGGGTATTTTTATTTTCTAATACTTTTCACAGCTAGGCATTACTCTCTGCCAGCCAACTAATTTCACGGGGACTATCCCCGAGCCTTCCAAAGTCAATGCCTTTTGGTTGCTGCCTATTTCTTGTAGCTGGTTGGAATGTAACAAGTTACAGATAGAAACAACAAATATTTCTTAGATGTAGGAGAGAACAACAGTGGGGGAATAAAAAAATCTCAATTTCTTTAGAAACCACTGCTCCACAACTGGAGCTTTGTATCATTATTTTAGTCTCATTTTACAGACGAGTTTCAAACAGCTGACAACAGGAATTTGGAGTGGAAATGCTGATGGTCCATTATCAGTAGTGACAGCAATGGGTGTGACTTTATTAAAGTTCTGCCAACTCTTGGCTAGAAACTACGATAGAAACAACCAGTTCAATCTCTCTCCGTCTCTCTCTTTACCTTAGCACTTATATCACACTCATCACAAAGTGTTACATTTTCCCTCGACGCCACAGGAGAGGATTTCTCCTTTCTACTGGAGCCATGAGGTACACTACAACCCTACCTCTTGCCTATGAGTTGACAGCAGACTGTTACCATACTAGTGGTGAGGTTGCTGTTGTAGTGCAGACATGGCTTAAAAGTCAACTGAAACCTTTTTACTCTTAACTAAGAAAAAAACAACCAGCACAAACCAAAGCTGTTCTACTGAGCTGTGTAACCTGGAGCTATTCCTTGCAACTGTCTGCTTGTAATAAAGATTATTTGCCTGAACCTTTTAACGAAGCTCAGAAGTTGGCATAAATACTAATGAATATACTTCTCAAGCTCTTTTCATCCATGATACCATGATGCGCACTTGTTATGCAATTGAAAAGAGATGCCAAAGAGAGTTTATTGGACCATATTTCCATCGCGCTGCTGTGAGCACTGAGAGTTCCCAAAGGCTCTGGCATGGTGAGGACAGTGTTTTCCTAAGACAGTGACTATTTTTCATTCACCCCTCTGTGTCTAGGAGGGAAGCACATCCGGACGGATGCTGGGAAAACAAATACTGTTTGTGGCGAAGGGAATTAACATCTTGGAAACCGTAACATGAATTAAAACTCATTAAGTATTGGAATTGGTTACAAAGATTTAACTGCATAATTTCTCCCTCTTGTTTTGTGAAGCAGCTTTTCACCCTATGCTTTTTCAGCCAAGCTCCCTCCACTGCAAATCTCCCTTAGCACTTTTCATTTCGACTGCAATATCAACCATTTTCCCGACACTTTGCCTTCTCTCATGGAGTGGTGGTTTTGTGAAGCTGATAAACATCTGCCTCTGCAAACCTGGTTGGCACAGCTGAACTCATTTTCAAGTGTGAACATGGTTGTGTAGAAAGCAATTCAAGTTTAACAAGGCATGATGCATGAGGGCATGATAGAATATCAGTCGTGATTGTGACCGAAATAAACCCCAGTGGCAGCTCTGCTATGACTGCTGCTGTGTGACCTACCTGGACTGAGATCTTCAGCCTCCAGAAAGAGAGAGCAGCACATTAACTCTACAGCTCTGCTGGGCCTGATACATTGGTGACATGGCTTAAAAATCTCAGATTCTGATTATCATGAGATGGGTATGTACAGAAGAACAAAACTACCCCACCAACTTCAATTACCCTGTTGGATTTCATAATTAGCTTTTCTATGCTTGTACCATATGTGTCTATGCTCCCTCAACGTCTTTTGAATTAAAACAAGCATGCAGCGGGATTTCTATGGATCCCAAGAAAGATCCATTTCTTTGACGGGTGATGTTGAGGAGTCAGTTACATTTTTTGGGGGCTCAAAACATCTGATGTCCAGATCTCATTATTTCCACAGTTACTCAGCTCCTTTCCCACTGTGTCTTCCATCACCCTGTCCCTGTGCTACTTATGAAATTAAATCAGTAAAAATCAGAAGTATTTGTTTTGCCTCAGTGTTGGGTCTAGAAAGATAATGACAGCACTTGACTCCATCAGTTAACGTTCCTTACTGAGCTGCAGGAACCAATCTCAGACCTTTCTCCCTGACTTCCCCAAGGCAAAAGCTATGATCCTGGGGTTCTCCTTGCATGAAGGGACTGCTACATGCCAGCTCCAAAAGTTTTGGGACGCAGATTAAGCATGCATGAAAGGAAGTGCGTAATTTTCTTGGGGCTTCCTATTTATTGTCAGAGTGTCCTTTCAAGAAGTCCTGATTATTCAGAAGTAGTATAGCGTGTGCTTTCAAGCAGTGCCGTGAAATAAAGGAATACCTGCAACTTCCCCTGCTGTAATTTATAGGCATTTTAAAGAAGCTGGGCAGCACACAAAACAAAAAACCCCATGCACAGATTGTTGCTCAGAATACTGTGGATCCTATAGGTTACTGGAAACAAGCAGATCCAGAAGTAAAGAATATCTGTACCTACACCTGTATCTATATGCAAAATGGGTACTATTATTTTTTCTGTGCCTTTTGAAAATGTAATAAAATGCATAAACTGTGCTTTCTAGTTTTTCTTTTTTTTTTTTTTCCTGTAGAAACAAAAGTGGTATTTTCACAGCTCCATGCTTGAAACTACTTCACCCCTCGTGCTGTTAAATGGCCATGGCAAGTACCACAGCATCCTTCATACTGACAAATGGGACTATCACTATTTTCTTATCCACTCAGCACCACCTGGAACTGACTTTTTGAGAAGGTTCATACTCTGAGAATAATTTCACATCCATACACCATGGAGTTAATATGCAACCTGGGTCATCAGTGTACATTTATTTTTCTCTTCAATATGTTTTCAGAGTGCCCCTAAAGGCACTTTTGCACTCAAAAGGGATCACTGGCTATGGAAGTCTGTGCTGCAAGTCGTTTCCAAAGTTCAGGTCAGCTGCTTGACTGCTCTTGGTGCTGCTGCTTAACACCCCTGTCATGATTTTTGGGTTGTGATAGTGGCACAAGACTTAAAGGATCTTTTGACAAACTTTTGTCCAGGCAAAGCTCTCGGTTCAAGCTAACCTCTTTGCTTCTCAGTTACAGCAGACCTATGTTTTGCATATAGTTACAGAAAACACAGGAATGGAAGAGATAGTGCTACAGTGTGGGCCAGTTCCCATGACCCTGTATGCCTTCAGTCTTTACAGTCCTTTTTCTTTTTTTGGCCTTATGCTACAAAGCAGAAATGGGGTCAGGGAAAGATCTTTGATTTTGTGAGAGCAGAAAACTGAGGGTGTTTTCTCAGCGTGCAAAGGAACCTTTCCAGCTGACAAACAGGGCGATAACACAAGTTAATACGTTGGCACCAAGACCTTTCTGACACTGGAAATAAAAGGTGATAATTTCAGCCACTGTGAAAAGTTCATGTGGACACCTTCATCACGTGGGACGTATTACAGCGTAACCTCTAGCTGCAGACAGCGGCTGTGCCTACCTTGGCTGTGACATATAGCTCCCAATTAGCACTTAAGGAAAGAGACTTTACAGACTGCACACTCACCTCTGCTCAGCCCATCCGGTCCCCGAAGGATTCGGCATTCTTCTATCTGGCCGAATGGAGAAAACATCACCCTGATATCATTCTCATTACACTTCTTCGAAACCATTCCTATGAACAATTTTCTGTCTTCCACAGCTAGAAGATAAAAATAATGAATGAGCAAAGGCCATTTCATCTTTTTCCTGTGATCAATGCTTCATTACCACATCAAACCAAGCTCCAGTCATGTGAGTCTGGCTCTGTAACTGAAGACAAGTCCTAAGGCAAACACTTTATACTTACAACCTCCCTTCCCCCCCCCAAAATCTCTCATTTTTCTTTCTCTCTCTCCTTTTTCTAGTGGTGCTTGCTGTTTATCTAACGGAGTAATTGGCCGCCTTAGTCATTCTGCATATGCCTCCCCATCACAGCTTCTAAGAAAAAAGCATCCTCTGTTAGAGAGACTTTTAAAGATATTTTTGCATAGATTCTAATTCAGATAAATCCCCTCACCTCCATCCGGTATGAAAGAAATCATGACAGGGGTGAGGGCGAAGAAGGGATTGTGCGTGTAGTGATACGAGCTAATGAAAAAGATTCCTGAGAAATGTTTTGAGAGAGCAGCTTCTATCTGAGCTTTCAATTTCAGCCAACTTAATGCAACGGCACTCGAAAGGCAGATGTGTAATGACTGCTCTGGAAAGAAAAAATGCATTGAATTTCCCTGCTTTTTACTTCAGACTGCCACAGCCCTCTCCCCTTCAGGAAGACACAAGGCGTGTTCCAGGGCATCACTTTAACACCCTTTGATTCGTACCGATGCTGAGTTTGCAAAACCCCATGAAAAAGGCGCTTTACCTGAATTATTGGTAGAGTATTTCCTGCCTGCATTGACACCAAAACCAGCAAAAGCTGGACTGATGCAACAGGACACATGCAGTCCTGTTAATCAAACTCAAATTTATGGGTCTAAAGCTGTGGTCTCTTGTAAAAAAATTGAATAGATCATAAAAACTTAAATCACCCTGAAAAGACTTAAAAATGCATCCTCCCATCCAAAAAATCCTCCAACCAAAAATCTGAGTGCTTATTATGCTCCTGTATAATACTGTATACAGCAGTGCTTTCTTCCTCTCTTGAAATGGCATGTAAATCCAATTCACTGTTAATGAGAAGACTGTCAGAGTTTGCGGGAAGCAAAGAGAGAGGGAAAGCTTTACTCCAGAGAGTCTGCAGTGCACTTACTTATTTCTATTATTGTGCAAATTATTTTTGTAATGAAGTATTTTCATTTCTGGGCTTACAAAAAAAAAAAAAAAAATAATGAATCTTCTCTTGCTCCCCAACTCTCTCGGCTTTATTCGCACAAGTTTGTCAAATGGAATAAATTGCAGCTGAGGAATAAGAAACAGCGTCCATTTTCATAGGATTTTATTTGTGTTATACTTCAACACTTTAAGTGCATTTAATAATTTCAACAATAAAAAGAAGAGGTTCATGTTTATTTATCATGAGAGGTGCTTGAAGCTATTTTTTTCCTTAGAATTGCTGACTTTAAAAGGTATTTGTAGCTTTTATGCAAGCAAACACCAAACACCATTTTTCAGGATCCAAAACAGACACCAGCCCCTGCAATCCAAGCGTCTCCCTCTACAAGCTTGCAAGAAAATTGGTGTGAATTTAACCCTCAGACGAAGAAGTTTTCCTCAGCAAAGAATCCTCAAGACTCAACGTTTTCATTCACACTTCATATTGAGGTTCCATATGCAGGTTAACCCTCCAGAAAGGGTTAACGAATGATGAATGCATGGGATAAGCCAGTTATGTACAGATCAGGAGCTGAATACGTGGGGCTGCAGATAACACCTGCCAGTTGGGATTTATATATGTGGTATATATTAATATATATTTATGTCTTACAATGAAACTTTCCATCTGATTCATAAGATACAATTGGACCTGATACTGCTAATAATTATTTTAAGGATGGTTAACCTGAATTGCCTTGCTCACAGACATAGAGAGTCTAGATAGTCACTACTGCTGCTGAAAGGATGCCTGTATCTTGGCTGCCTACAATTCCTATATTGCCTTGAGTAATCTCTTGGAGAAAGGCCCCTGGCCAGCCTGTCCCCTTGACAACAGCCACACACTATTGACAGGGTGCAGGAAAGGGTATGAGGACCCAGCTGGACTTCCAGGTATGGATTTCTCCCTACCACAAACCAAGGTCAGGCTGGAGGAAGCCTTGGCGCCAAGCATAGGTCCAAGCACTGCTTTCTGCTCTGTGTTATGAACCTTTTAACTTTTACCTGTGAGTCAGCTAGTATCAGCCATTTAAATTTGGGTTGATTTTAGGTGTGAAATACAGTGTGCAGGTCTACTTTAAGGGTGACTAGATCCCAACCCTCTCTTAAAAATAGCTACTGGCTGAGTTAGACAACTGCCTGCCATGCCATCCCAAAGGAAGTACCTTGGGTCCTGCTTAGGTGCAAGGACAAAGATTCAAGTCAAAGAGATTCACAAGGAGATTAAAAGAAATGAGATGAAAACAGGAAGGCTTTGTTTTAATTTTCCAAAGAGTAGCAGACGACAAACTCCCCACCAGCCTCCTTCAGTTTCGCTAGTAAACCTATAAATACGCCATTTAACTAACATGATTTGCAGGTTTGAAGCTTGAGGGTGATTTTATAGTGAATTAAACATCCAGCTCCTGTGTACTGTACATCTTAAAGATGCAGATTTCACGAAGAATGCTCAGAGTACAGAAAACATATTGATATGATGACGTGCTCTGCATTCAGTGCTATTAGTCAGTGCTGATCAGCGTTGAAGCTTAAGAAATTTGCTATTCTTTTATTTGGCTAGGGGCCCAGCATAAAAAAACATTTAAAGGGACAATTGTCAGGATCAAAATGACAGGTTTTCACTCCATCTGATAGAACATCTGATATTATTAGGCTGAAAGAGCTTTTAACAACATATTCTCATGCAGAAAAAGGAATGCTTTTTTACCTCTGCAAGACTGGCTGCCTGGATTTGTTTCTACATTTTTGGTCAGCCACTTCTCTCCTATCTTTCTAAAATGAATTCTTACCTGCCACGCAGGCACAGTTTGAGAATCAAGCACACAACAGACTGCAAGAAGTATGAGTCAAACAGATTTAGAGGTTAGGAAACCTCTTTTGATAGCCAAGCTTGCTGATTTGCCTGTGTGTGTTTGGTTGCTCCCCTAGACTGTAAAACGAGGAGCTCAACATTAAACACACATGACCCAACAAGGCATTGAGATCAAGAAAGGTGCTACCCACTGGTGGTTGGAGAAATGATGGTAGTCCAAAGCCATCTTGCCTAACTTCAGTCATCTACAGTTTAGGTGTTCAGTTCTAGACTCAGCTAAAATGTTATCAGTTGGCTGTTGTCAGCACCAAGAGCACATCCGAAGAGTAACTGATCTCGCCTCTCCCAGTAAGATGGGATGGCTTTTTTTCATGGGAGCCTCTACCTTGTTATTGACAGTAGACAGGGCTGTCAACTCCCAAAGGTTGGTCAACATGATAACACATAGATGTCTTGAGCTCCAGCTGCAGGAACAGAACAATAAATGAGCTCTGGGGGACTGGACAAATGCCATCACCTTGGGAGCTGCAAGTACTTTGGGTAATGAGAGCAGGCAAAGGAGAAGGCTGGGGGGACAAGGGCACAAGGGTCAGCACCTGTGTGCACATAAATATTTTGCTGCTATTTGATAATTCTCTCTCCCACACTAGGGATAGGTCTCAATAATTCAAAATCCTGAAAATTAATGAAAATATTTGGCAAGTGTGTGATATCACTATTTCTTAACCTTGCTTATAGGCCTAATCGTACTTTGTCTGGTTTGCACCTCCCTGGGGGCATGAAGTAGATACAACCATCCATAAGCAGCTAGTAGGATGGGGTGGCTGAGTACCCCTCATTGAAGGGGCAGAAGCAGACAGGTCTGAAGTTCCAGTTACATGAAAGAAGCTGCCCAGTATCTTGATTAACTATTTATGGGGTTCATCTCTAATCCATCCAAAGACATTATAAAAGCAGGTCAGCTTTGCTGCCAGGGCAGTTAGTGCGACGCTTCCAGCGCTTAGCCCGGTGGATTTGGGTGCGAATCTTTTGCCTGAACATAGCAACCCAATGTTGGTATCTGTTTAAAAAAGCAGATTGTCCTCTTAACTCCATCAAGATTAGCTCTGCAATCACTAGCACGGGTGCCTAGGTATGGTGTTGGAATCCAGAGTGCTACGTTAGCCATCAAAGGTTACCTGTGCTTTTTTCAAGCTGAGCCTCCTGCCTTCTGACAGCACTACATCCAACTTGCAGAATAACATCCTGAAGGGTCTAATTTTTTAGCTTTACTCAATTTGCTTCAGAAATGAGCATTTCTTCCAGGCTGGGTTAGATTGCTTGTGCTAGCCCAGGAGAATAAAGAAGTAGATTGTTTTCTGAATGGTACAAAGGAATTAAACCCTGTAATAAGCATGGGAAATCTCCCTGAAGATTCAACAAGCTTCCATACTTCTTCTTCTAAACCCTCAAAACTGTGCCCTGAAAAATCGAAATTATAACCCATTATTATACATTTTTGAGCAGTGTAGTCACAGAGTGCATTTTCCATCCAGAAGTCGCCTTCTCTTTTGAGCAAATCAAGAAACAGTTAATTATGTATAAAAGGGTTTTTTGGTTGTTTTGGTTTTTTGTGTTTGGGTTGTTTTTCTTTTCCATCCAGAAGGGAAGGGGGAAAACAGACTTTTTTATCCCTATTCGTAAGCCTGTGAAAAACCCCTTGCATACAATCTGTCAAAGTCACACCTGGATCCGGAGCTGCCTGCATTAATTATCAACTTTGCTATGTGTTAGTGCTAACATATGGCATTTAATTACTCCCTCCAAAGCGGCAAAGTTGCGCCACTTGGAATTTCAAAATAATTTTTTCAAGTTTTCACTAATAAAATAAAAATAAATTCTAAAAATACTCAGCTGCCCCCTCCCCCCCCCCTTATTTTTTAATAGAGAATTTTGTGATTTTCCCAGAATTCATGATGCTTTGGTCCATTTAAGAGATACTGTTGTTGTGAACCCAGGACAACCGTCCATGGGATATGTGCCTGAAAATATCGACTGTATTCAAACCCTAATCCAAGACACATTTAAGTATTTGCTAAACTGTAGTGTATTAATGGCTAAAGTCATGTTTATGTGCTTTTCAGCCTTAAAGTGCAGAAACCACTTTAGTTCGAAGAAGGGAAAATATCCTTAAACAGACAAATCCTGTGAGTCATTAACAGTCAAGGTGAACCTAGCAATAGTGGAGCCTTTAAAGTCTTGAAACCATGCTTTTCTGGCATGTGATCCTTAACCAAATTTTGTAGATAGATTAAAATAACGACCTAGCAATATAAAGGTGGTCTAATGGGTGATCAGATCAGGACACGCTACAAAATTCATCATCTGAAAATCTTCCAGGGATGTTACATTTCTCAACAATAAAAGCCTTTTCAGAATCCTCCTGGGCAGACAAATTAATTAGATCTAAATGCAAGTCTTTCTCCATCAACTCTAACTGCTAAAAACTTGGTGGAACAAATTAAGCTTTGCTTCATCTGCGCAAGCAGAGAGATAACTCAGACATACGAGCTACTGTATGTAGGGAAGGCATTGAGGTGATTGTGCAAGATCAGTCACCCTGTTCCTATCCAGAAGAAAAGAGATCTTCAGGTAGCTAATGAACTAATACTGCAGAAGTGCCCAGGCACTATATTAAATGCATGCAGAAGGTGCCTCTTCCATACTCATTGCCCAGTTTCCACGAGGCGGCCTTGGCCTTTTGTGCTAAGGGACAGGCTTCTGACATGATGCCTACACGTAAAGACAGGAACAGTGATGGAGAAGGAGAAGCATTTCATCCTGGTACTCTTGCGCTTGGATGCTCATTCAAACTTTTTTGTAAGGGACTCAAGATGGGACATCTTATGCCACAGCAAACACTATTGTACGTAAACCTCTGTACGAAGAACTAGGGGACCTCTCATCCTTGCTGTGGAACTTGATGAGGTTTCTCAAGCCTTCACAAATATGTGCAAGCTCAGAATTGTAATGAGTGTTCAACTTCTCCTACATAGCTTTCCACAAGCTATCTGGAAATTTTGACCAAGAGAATTTCTTCAACCTCTTTGAAACTTGAGAAACACTACTCAGAAATCAAAGAGGTCCAAGCATTCCTCAAAAGCTCAAACACCACAGATCATGAAAACCGAGGTTCCTTTGCACGCCTTCTTTCTTTTCCCCTTTGAACTTACCAATCTGGTTGAAGAGGTACAGTTTACAACTTGCTGTAAACTTGGCACAGATAATGTACCTCCTCAGATGTATAGCCTGAAGCGTATGGGAAACACACGCCAAACAGGCCTTCGCATTCCTCATACTGCTATTCTTTCTCTTTTTGGCTCTCCAAGCTGCTTGCAAACTCTCACCTCCTCCGTGGACCCTGCGCCTATGCCCTGTCCTTCTGAGTTATACCACTGTTAGCATCATTATGATTTTAGTTTGCCTTCTGTCTCCCCAGGCATTAAAAAAGAAGAGTTCACCACCCCCAGAAGTACCTACACCTGCCAGGAGTCTAAATTTAAAAAGGTGTTTAATTTGACAATTTCAACCTTTGATCTGTCAATGTGTTTTCCCCAAAATTAGAAAGAAAGGCAAGAAAAAGCAAAAAAACCCAATCCCTCCTGACTGTCATGCTGGGAATAGTGTAGTGCAGACAGGAGTACCATGGAGATAACCCCAGTCTAACAGCAGCAGTGAGGACCTAAGAGCAAGACAGAATTTGCACAATTCCCAATAGTGCTTTGCCAATATGTTCGATCTCCCTTAGGAAGAAGAATTTCAGGCAGTGAACAAGTAACTCATTGAGAGCCAATTTTGACCCATTGCCTCTTATTTTTCTACTTTGCCAAGGAGCTTGAGGTGAAATTTGTCTTTCAAGGAAGAATTTACAGAGGCTATGCTTAGGTTCAGAGGGTCCAGGCCAGTGTTCCTGTACCTAAGGGAAAACTGTGCCCACTGCAAGCACAATAAATACTAGGGAGTGGAGTTTGGATTCCAACAGCAAAGATCTCCTTGATCACAATGGGACCTGAAAATCTGGGTCCTTCTGCCCATGCATGTGCCCTGGCCTCTCTTCTGAGCATTCAAAGACGGCAAGAAATCACTGCTATAACTCAACCCAAGGAAGAGAGCACCACTCCATTACAAATGGGTGATGGCTCAAATTTCCTGCCTTTGTGGCCAGTTTTGTTTAGAAAGTTGTCGTAATAGGAAGTTTTAATTTCCTTCCAAACTTTATAATCCTTGGAGAAGCCTGAAAATGGGATGCACTACAATTAGCAAAAAAAAAAAAAGAGAGAGAAGCCTTAAAAAAGCCTTGCGGAGAGATTTAGAGCCCAATCATCATTTACATTTGCAGGTATGCAGATCTCTAAGTGCACGGCTTCTGCCCTGATTACTAATTAATGAGGTGCAAAGATGCCTGTTGGAGGAACCAGCTCTGATTATGTGGGTCTTGTGGGAAAATGAAGCTCTTGCAATCTAAGAAGGCAGATGATATCTTTAACATATATTTTAGAAAATTACAGGAACAAATCAAGGGGCAAAATATACACATGTATATATTTTTAAAGAGTCACACACAGCCAGGTTGCGTTACCATTCGATTATCTTATTTCCTTGAATATACAACCCTGGCATGTTTAATAGATTTAGCATGCCATCTATTTTGCATGTCATATACATCCACTTAGGCAGTACCCTGGTATTCTGAATGAATATTACTGTCTTTATAGCATTCATTTTACAATTGCTGAGAGGAATAAGTAAACAGAGATCTGCAAGGTGGGTTTCCCAGTTCAGAGCCAAGCATATAATTAAAAGCTAAATTTGGCTCAGATTCAGAACAGCATCATTCTCTAAAAGTTAAGACAAATGTTTAAGGCCTCTCAGCTGCTTTCACGGTTTGTTAACAGGGGAATGGGTTTTCTTTCTTATCTTTTTTATTTTCACCATTAAAATTTCATCTCCATCTTATCAACACCAGGTACTCCTGTATCACCTCACCGCTAGGTGAACACAAGGGAAAGATGTATGTAGCGTGGTAGGCTCTGACACAGAGCAGGTACAAGGAAAACTGTTTTCCAGAGCATTTCCTTCTTTAAAGCAGAGGATAAATGGAAGTTAGGAACAGGTCAACATCTTCCCTAACATGTCAGGTGCAGGGAAATTACTCAATACCATTTTTACCACACAAGGCGTAAAGCAAAAACTGTCACAATGTTGTGTTTGCTTTAGTTTAGGAAGAGTCACAATTAGCAGAAATAAATGAAACACATACCATTTGACTTTTCACTATCTGCAGGTTTCATCTGAATAGGATGATGCATCTAAAAACAAAAATGAAAAAGAGTAAGGCAGGTTGGATAGTCATAAAAACCCAAAGAATCATGTTTTCAATGAAGGGCTAGAAAGATACATGATTAATATTAAACATGTTGAAATGATATAAATTCAAAATAACACCATATTATAGGCTTTTAAGAAAAAAATAAAATGGTAAAGAAACATTTTATAAGCAGGAAGATTAAAAAAAAATAGATCATTGGGCCCACAGGACTCTCATGAAACTTTAATTTGCTGTATCTAGTTTCAGAAGACCTCTAAAGTTACAGCCCTCATTAGTTTATGGCATGCTTGGTTTCTGTTTTACCAACTTTTTTTTCCTTGAGCTCAACTACTGCCAAAACCAAGATGGAATTTAAAGTAATTTAAGAGCTAGCAAGCATTTCAGACATACTCAGAGGAGTCGGGTTTGACAAATGAACTTTGCTTGTAATTAAAAAAACATGTGCTGATTCTTTCAGGACTGAAGAGGAACAGACTTGTGCTTCACATAATAACTTCCTAAAACTGTTTATTATACTTTGTTTTTAGAATGCATTATACATTCATTCATAAAGCTTCCATCACAACATGGCATAATTCTGGTTTCCATAAAAACTCCTAATGATTTTGCTTTTCAGCCTTTTCCTCCATTCTTGTTAACTCTTACTGCAAAAGGAACCTCCCCCAGTTTCACGCTGCGCTGAGCATCACACGGTGTCATCCTACCTTGGCACACTCGGTAACGGTGTATCCTCAGCTTTCATTACTAAATGATGCTCCCCCACATTGAATCTAACTCCAGCCAAGTTCTTATGAATGGTGTTTCCTGTTGTTTCAGGATTAGCAACACAACAGTTGAGCTCCCTCTGAGCAGTGTGTGGCTTTTCCACTGGACACTGCATATAGCCAGTCCACTCTGATGGATTCAGGGAAATTTCGTGGCAGCTTCTCTAACGCCTTCACAACTGACTTCACGCTGAGTTTCAATGTGGGAGACGTTTAAGCTTACAAAAAAACCCCCCACTTCTATTTTCTTTCATAAGGGCCTGAAGAATTGCAGGGATTTGACTGCACAAACCTTCCAGCAGCAGCAGGGACACGCTGCCTTTTCTCTCCTCAGCAGTTCCTCACCATTTCATGTGAGCAAGTAAAAATCCATGCTCTTTCTGCTTTTCTATCATTTCTCAGTGCAGCAGAACTGAGTATTGCCTGAAAATGTCAGAGGCAATTCTGGTTTAAAAGACTATTACGGCAAACTCTGGGAAACAAAAACAGCTGAGCAGGATAGAACATCCATGCACTCATTTCAAATGTGCTTTCAAAGCAGCTCAGAAGGCCAAATCTGCATTGCTTTTGGTGGAGCCACTTAACCTCCAGGGACGCAGTTGCTAGATTCTTTAGAAAACATCAAGTATTGCTGTGAATGTTCCTGTAAGATTTACTCAAAGTTCAGAATGCTCCCCAGCCCTGCGAATCAATGCATTCCTTGTACTGCTTGCAAAACTCCCCACTGTGCCCTAAGGAAAAGGCAAAGCCACAAGGTGGATGTAGTTACCAGGATGCACAAATTCGCTTCAATTTTAACAGTTCTGTTCTCTTTCAATCATTTGTTTCCCAAATGGACTTTAATAGCCCAGCACTTGTCTGCCACCACTCTTATTCGATCTAATTTATAGAAAAAAGGGAACTTTTATTGTACTCTGTCTTCTTTAACTAGTGCTTAACATTTATCCTGGCATCAACAATACACTGGGCACTGCAGGAGACTTCAAATTCATGGGAATGTGATGCAGCATGTCCACTCAGCAAGCAAAAAGCGAAAGAAGGAAAAAGATGTAACGTGCTCCGCGAGACAGTTGTGCATATCGACATCTCTGAGGAGCAATGGAATGGTGAGAAAATAGAAGAAAGAAAACTGAGTATTGTAAATTTGGGAATATGAAGGTTACAGAGGAAAAACCCAACCCAAACCCAGATGTTCTGTAGCAGAGAATCTATCTCTAGCTGCTTTTATATGCCCCTAAGTGGAGTTATTTTGAATAATGGCAACCCTAACAATGTTAAAAACCTTTTACTTTTCAAACCTCCTGAACCAGAGAAAAGAACTTCAGACCAAATTCATGTGAAGAAGTTATTTTTGCAGCCCCAGGGTCACAATATAAAGATTAGTGTCACCTAATAAACATTAAGTCACTAAGTCAACAATCTGTTGTTCACAAAGTAAAAGGCAAGCTTCAAGTGGGTTTTGACTGTTAAAACCCCATGGTCCAAATTCTCTTCGCACCAGCAAGCCAAAGTCAGGAGTGATGCCTTTGTGCTGAACAATATTATATTGGTGCAAAACTAATAAACGATTCAGATCAGGCCTGGAGAGTTTAAAGTGCAGAATACCCATGGTAAAATGGATGCGATACACAAACATGGCTTCAGAGAAGAAGAAGGTGGAAAAATACGTTACTGACAGTTTCCTAACATAAGAGGGCTCGTGTTGAAGCTTGTTTAACCCTGACCATCACCAATTGATACGTTAACAACCTTTAACACTAGATTCAATAAAACATGCCATTTATAACCTGAAATGGGTTTTACAGAGTCACTGGTTCGCATCTCATTATTAAACTCATTGCTGACCTCTAGAGACAACTGCCGTGACAATACATATTATAAGCTCTCTACCCATAAAATATTTAAAAGTAGGTGTAGAAATGGAAAGGAAAGGAAAAGAAAAAGAAAAAAGAATGAATCTCAAAGAAGTGTGCAGTGAATAAGAAAATTAAAGGGGCAGAGACAAAGGCTAAACAGGTACTATCCTTTCACTCTACAATGAGCAAAAGAGAAAATAATCTGTGCGGTTTATATCTTGCTTGTATAACTGCAGGCTATAAAATAATAAAATAGCTGCGCTTTCCGAGGCCCTCCAAAAGATTATAGATGATATAAACCTGTTTCAAATTAGATGCCACTCACTAGAATCATGTCATCTACTGAAATGAAGGATTTCATGTCTTATCGGAAAGCTGTTATTGTAGCTATGCATCACAAAGCCATACACTTATGGGTCTCAAGGTAAGTGATTTCTCAGTATGTCGTGTTGTCACATAGAAAAACAGGAAAAATCTTCTTCTGTGCTTAAAGAAAGCTTTGCTTATCAAAATATGGTATTTATGAATGCACAGCTGCGATTAATAGTGAAGAGTAAGAAAAATAACTGAAGTAAGTAACTTATAGACATTAACATCCTCCTGTGCTCAGACCATATAATAAAGGAGAGCATCACAGCTCTCTGTCAAGTTCTTTCTGAGTGTAGGCACCTTCCCCTGGCAAGCACTGTGCATGGGGATATCAAAACCAGACTAGAGCACGGGTTGTAAGGAGCAACATCTTCTCAGCAGTGTTTTAGAGAGCTCTATTGAATACAGCTGTGCAGCCAGAAACGGCATGACCTACCCATGCTCTCTATCCGTAGCTCTCAAAGCACACCATGCAACTGTTTTACAACCAAGAGCAGGCAAATGCCCATTGCCCAGGGTTGCTCAGTGCCTTGAGGCAGCGCTGACAGCAAAAGGGGGGCTCCATCCATGGCCTGAGCTGTCATAGAGGCCACGCAAAGCCTGAGGCCAAGCACATCACTGCTTCTCCTTGAGCACATCCCAAGCAGGGGTGCTGATGTGGGAACCGAACGGGAAGAAAACAGTTGTGAAACATGCAATCCTGTAAATCCCCCTGAAATCAATGAGAATCTGGCTGCTGGCTATGTCGAGGGCAGCAGCAGGACCCAGCCATGGCCTGGAATTACAACTGACTAAAATCAGTTCCCCCCTCCTTTTTTGTCCAGAGTACATCCCACCATATGCAATCATAACTTCATTAGAGAAAGAAAACACAGAAGAGCAACCCGAAACCTTCTCAAAGGCATGCATCTTCCTCAGCTCTACAGCCTCAGAAGTCATCTTTTTGACAATGATAACACAACCTATTTACATTCTTGTCAAAGCCATGTGACGTCTGCATGAGAGAAAACAAGCCAGCTAAGAGTCTATTTCTGGCAAAAAATATTGCAAGGAAATTAGATTAACCTGGGTGGAATTCTATCTGGGAATTTGGAGTCTGTCGTGGTGATTAAGTCATCATTTCTGTCAGATTACTCGAATCGGCTGTCAAATATGATTCCACAACCCCATCTGTAACTTGGCATCCTTGTTATTCAGTCGATGTTACCTTCTGTATACAAAACAGACACCAAACAAGGAGGTGTGTGCAGCCTAGCATTTAGCAGAGCTATTAGCTGTGATTACTATTGTGTGCTTGCACATTGCACTAGGCGATCAGCTTATGGCTTGTTGTATTTAGTCAGGGGATGCTTCAAATCAGGTGTAATCTTAAGGCTGGAGTGCTATGGGTGAATAGGAAAGAAATGTCTCCAGGTGTGGCTGAGCATGGGATTGGCATGCTCTGAGTCACCAGCAATTGCTTACATCTTACTTATATATATTTGGTGGAAAGGCTTTTGGGCACCTGCTTTCCATCCATTTCCTGAAGAGAAATGGGCACTCAGCTGTTGTAGGTAGGCTAAAGGCTTCCTGCAAGCAATAATTTCCGTGAGTGAAGCAAGGTTTGTAGGCCAAGGCAGTCAACACTCTAAATGATCTGTATCGGCTGGTTTTATAAGAGGCATTTTGTTACATATGTGAGTATGTTTGTCTTACAGAGGACTTGGGTGATTAAAAAGCGAGAAGTGTCTTTCAGTGAAGATGAAGGAGCTGATGGGATCAATTTGCTGCAGCTGTTTTCAGTCTGTGAAATCTGGGTGCCCTCAGCACCTCCCGGAACTCTGACCATGTAATTAGACTATGAAAAAATCATTATTTTATGGTCCATTGCAAAAACACCTTCATACACTGTTACTACATCCATTAGCAGCTTTTATTCTCTGTTTCTGCTGCTGCAGACTGCATGTGCCTTGCTCCCGTCATTCCTCATGTCTTGAAGAAAGAAAACCACT